GAGCTGCAGTTACAGATGGTTGTGAGGTTGTCCACTGAGGTTCTGGGAACTGAACTCAGGTCCTCTGAAAGAGCGGTATGCACTCTGAACCACGGAGCCATTCTCCAGCCCTGAGAAGGTGCGGTATGCACTCTGAACCACGGAGCCATTCTCCAGCCCTGAGAAGGTAGATGTTAAGGTTATTTTTAGGAGCGGGAGACATCTGTCATACTCTGACAAAAGAAGGGGAGAGAAGACAGGGCGGGGATCTCTTTGTTTATGTCTCTGGGAAAATGAAAAGTGAGTGGCCAGAGGGGGCAGAGACATTCAGATGAAAGTGATTTGACAGCTTCTGGATGCTGTTCCATTTCACAGAACAGGTACTGATAGCAACTGACAACTGCCACACAGTATTAGTCGCTGTCCCATGTCCCCAGCCGAGCGCCTACAGTTCATTTCAGTTTGGTCGATAATGAATGCAGGTGCTTCAGGGGCCCATAACCTATGGATTGGCGTGTGTGTGTGTGTGTGTGTGTGTGTGTGTGATACATCATAACAGCATTATAAAATATCACTCTATACATGTATAGACTTAAGTTCTTTTATGTGCAATTCCCCTCCCCTCCTAAAAAAATAGCTTTCATTCTCAAGACAGGGTTTCTGAGAGCGGTCCTGGAACTCCCTCTGTAGACCAGGCGGGCCTCGAACTCAGAGATCCACCTGCCTCTGTCTCCCTAGTGCTGCGCCACCACCCCCTGGCTCTAAAACTAGTCTTAAAATCTACTGGCTTGGGGCTGGAGAGATGGTTCAGAGTGCATAATGGTCTTTAGAGGACCTGAGTTCTGTTCCAAGAACCTACATTGGGCAGTTCACAACCACCAATAACTCCAGTTCCAGAGGATCTGATGCCGTTGGTCTCCACAGGCACCTGCAGTCATGTGCAAACACACACACACACACACGCACGCACGCACGCACAAATAATAAAAACAAAGAAATCTCCCCTGTCAGCACCTTAATTTCCACCTCATGGTCCCTAATCTTAGGCAAAGGGAAGAGCAAGAATGGTGAACTGGAAAGGCCCTAAAGATCTATAACAAGACTGTCCTTTCCAACAGGTGAGAAACAGACCTTGTAACATGGTGGGATGGGCTACTACTACATTTGGTTGAAATCAGCTTAAACACAGCCTCCTTCCCTTCCCTTGTGACCTAACCTTTCTAGGCTTCATTTCCCATAAAGGGAGAATCAATGGGAAGCAATACCCCTGGGACCCCCGCAGGACTGTTTGGAGGGTGAAATGGGGTAAGAAACATAAATGCGCTGACCCCACAGAGGTGCTCCAAGGGTAGGGGTGAGTCAGTCTCCTTGCCTGCTGGCTCCTTAGGAGTCTTCAAGGAAAGGTACTGATTACAGCTCAAAGGTCCTGCTCATACAGAGAAGATGCTGGGGCAGAGGGAAGGTGCTGAGGAAGCCAGCGAGCAGCTAAGAACACAGCAGCTGCCGTCTGTCTGCTGTTCCTTCTCTCCGACTGAATAAGGACACCCTCAGACAGCTGGCCAGCGCCAGTGGAAAACAGAGAGATCACCGGGAGGGCAGAGGGTCCCGTCCTTGCTCTCGGGCTTAGCAAGCAGTAACTGCCCAGCTGGCAGGGGCACAGTGAAGTCTCCCCTTGTCCACACAGGTCAGCTGGTGTGCCGAAAACACACGGTCAGCATCTGCATGCACCAGGAGAGAGGTTAAAAGGCTAAAAGGATGTGGCTTTTGCACCCCGCACACACCGACTCCCTCTCTGTACGTGTGACAACCCCAGTCAAAGAAGAAGGCTTCTTGATGCCCGGAACCACCTCTCAGCCTCAACCAGTAGGGTCACATTGCTGGAGGAAAGATACTCTTCCGTCCCTGAGAGGGCCGACTCTTCCCCAGCCAGCCTCCATGGCACCTGACCGTGGTGCCTGTGGCAGTCGAGCTAACTGATGAAGCTAGGCCACAAGGTTTAGAGCGATTTGGGAATAGCCATTTCACAGCTCAGGAGGGGCTGGGCTCATAGCCCTTCCTTCAGGGAGCCACATTTTTCTAAGATTAGTATTCCTTGGACTGGTTACTTAACTACTGAGTATCTTCTCCCCTTTGGGTGGGAAAGGTCTTTCCTTCTGTGGGGATTCTCGTGATGAGTCTGGCCTCCTTTCCCACCTTCCCGCCCCTTCCACCATCCGCGGATCTCACAAGAGCATGGCCTATGGACTGAGATGTTAGAGTTAGGACTCAGCTCCGAGCTGTGGCTCGGGGGCCCTAGGTCGTAGGAAAGGAGACAGAGGGGAAACGTCTAGCTCTCAGCCTCCTTTCACTGACAGCAACAAACACGTCGGAACAGGGTGACAGGTGGGCACCAAGGCCAAACAATGGCTATCCAAACAGGGGGCTGCTGTCCTTGGAGGACAGAGTCACAAAGGCAAACAGCCCGCAAATGGAATGCAAACACAGCCTCCCGGCAGTGAGAACCTTGAACTCTGTGGAAAGAGGAGAGCTAGAATGACTCTCTAGGAAGGAAAAAAAAATCTCTAGTCCCTGCTGCTTGTGGGGAAATATCTGGAAGCCTAGACCAAGACGGCCAGGCACTGACCACCAGCACCCACAGAAGCATCTCAGGGCAGTTTCCCCAACTATCAGACTATATATCTATATCAGAATCTGTGCGATTCAAGCCTCATTGTAGGAACACCCACCTCCCCACAAACCATGTGGACACCGAGCATGGGCGACCATCTGTCCCGGTGCCAGGGAGGCTGGATGTCCGCAAAGGCCTCGCTTACTCTTCTTACCGAGTGGTGTGTGATGGCCAATCAACGTGGCCAGGAAAATCTTAAGAGATTATCGTAAAACTCTGGCTCCCTGAATCACTAATGGCTACTGTGTTGTATTTGCTTGTCGTTTCCTTTTTCTCCTAAGTGACATCGTTTGAGGCATTAGCAGAAAGGCCATGCCGGAATCCTCAGCCACACTGGTAACTTTTAGCCGTTTTCAACAGGTCATGGATTTCAGTTCTTCTAATCTTACTCTTCAAATGTCCCTGACCCAGGCTGGGCTTAGGGCAAAAGAGTGGACAATGGTCCTGCTGGGGCACCAGGAGATCAGGAGACCTCCTCGGAGAAAATCCGGATTATTCCAGTTCCTCCTTAGGTTCCTCCTTTCCCTGAAGCCTCCATCCTGCTCACCCCCCAAAACAAATGAAACAGAGAAGCTACAAAGAAAAGACCATGGGCACGAGGAATGCGTGACAGCATGGCTTGTTCTCTCTCTCTTTTCTTAGATTTATTTATTCATGTATTTTATGTATACACCAGAAGAAAGAATCTGATCCCGTTACAGATGGTTGGGAGCCGCCATGTGGTTGCTGGGAATTGAACTCAGGACCTCTGGAAGGGCCGTCAAGTGCTCTTAACCACTGAGCCATCTCTCCTTATTTTTTTCCCCAATTCAGTCAACAATAGAGTCCCTTCGCTACACTCACCTCCCTGTGAGCTAGGGAGAGTCCCTGCCTTAGAAAGGGGAGTCCTGTGTCAGCCTCCTCAAGCTGGACCTCACAAAACAGCACCCCTCCCCCAAATCCCCTCACAAGATGGAGCCCTCAGCCTGAGCACCAACTATTGACACCTGCCTTGGGTTCCTGAGTAGCCCTGCGAGTTATCAGTTCCTTACACACCACTGTATCTAGATCATCCCACAAAACGCCCTACGGTATCCCTGTTACTTTTCCGCAGTGGGAAAGTCAGTAAATGTCTTCCAAGCTCTTAATTCTTTCCTCTGGGACTCAGCTAAACAAGGGTCTGCACAGCATGTGTCTGTAGGGACCTCCAGAGCTGCTTTCCCCTCCATGGCTCACGGTGCCTCAGTTTCCCTGTCTTGGGCCGGTGACTCAGAAGTTCACAAGTCCTAGGCAGTCTGCGGGGGCAAGAGTACCGTTGAACTTGCACTTGAGGTTTTATGAGGTTAGGAAATCTTTTCTTATTCAATTCTACGAAATATCTCTATGTTCCAAGGATGAGCAAGTTGGAAGAAAGTTTGTGAAACACGAGAGGTAGACAAAAAAAAAGTGAAAACTAGACAAAATCTTGCCAATCCCAGCCAGGCCTGTAGCAACAGCAGAGCCCAGTGCGTGCCCTGCACCTCTCACAGGAAGATCTGAGGCTAACAGCACCCAGACTCTTGTTCACAGCACTTTCTATCATTTTTACTTTCAGTTTACCCAGAAGGCTAGGAGGAACCAGGCCCTTCCATTTCACAGATGGGGAAACTGAGATCCACGGACAGGACACTGCCAAGGTCCTAAGGGCAGTACTTTAGGATTCCACCCAGGCCGTGGCATTTTCTTCCACCAGAAAAAGGAACTAGAAACAAAGACAGCAGGGACAGGAGCTGGGTTCCCATTCTGTGACCGGGACAGGCAGCGCCTGCCTGCAGAGCAGCTGGCTGGGGAGGAAGGGGCTCCCAGACAGTCTCTAGTGTCTTGAAGAAGGGGTTCAACCTCGCAGCTCCCCACTCCGCACCCCCAGGACCCCTGCTCTTAAGGTTGGCTAGCTAGCTCGTTTTCTCTGAAAGTGCACCCTTTGTCCTTTATGATATCCTAAGTGCTAGAAGCCTTTCAAACTCCGAAATCCGTTATTTACTCACACTGGAAAGTCAGGCTCTGGACCTGGAGACACAGACCAGTTCTACATCTGTCTGGGGAGAAAAGGCTGCACTGGAGGGATAGTAGCCAGAAGTTACCATCCCACGAGGTGGGAGAGGCGCTTTGGGGGTCTTCTTTTTGTAAAAGGGACATGGGTGTGAGCTACCCCAATGAAAGAAGTTTTCTTCCAAAGCTCAGGGACCGAAACGCATGGGCACACCTTACCAGTGGCCAGGGACAGCGTCTCTCCCTCCCGGGCCACTCTCACAGTTCCCCCCCCCCCGCGGGGGTCCACGGAGCCGCGGCCCGGAGCGCCCACGCCCCCTGCCCCACGCTGGTGGCTCTCACTCACCCGCGCTCGCGTCTCTGGGGACCCGGCCAGAACGTCCCCGCCGGGTCATGACGCCGCCGGACCCGGGGGCCGTGTGTCCGGGGCCAGGCGGCGAAGGCGGCCCCGCGGCCGGGAGGAGCGCGCGGTGGGCCGGGGAGGGAAGGGGGCCCCGCGTCCTGGGGGTGGCGGGCGGTGGCAGCAGCAGCGGTAGCAGCAGCAGCAGCAGCGGCGGCGGCCACCGCGGGGCGCGCGGCGAGGCCATGGTGGCGGCGGCCGCCCGCGCTCACATGCCGGGCGCCGGGCCGAGGGCGGCGGCGAGAGGAGCCGGGTGCGAGCGCGCTCCCAGCCGCAAAAGTTGTGCGAGCGGCGGGAGGGCGGAGGCGGCCCCGGCGCCACCACACGCCAATCAGCCCGGGCGGGTCGCGGGGCGGGCGGCTCCTCCTCGGTTGACATCACCAGCCCCCCGCGCGGGGGCCCGGGGGCGGGGAGAGGGCAGGAAGAGGGCGGGGGCGGTCTGGGTCCCCCGGGTGAGCTCACGGAACCCCCGGGTGAGCTCATGGAGCCCCCGCGCAACTTTTGTCATGGGCCCACGCCCTGGAGCATCGCTTTGGGTTTTAGAGAAACGGAATGGGGTGGAGGTGGGGGCACTTTCCCAGCTCTTTAGTCACACAGTAGGTCTGTGAAAAGTAGGTCCTGGCAATGTAATGGATACGAGGTGAGTATACAGCGTGATTTCAGAGGACAGAGAAGTGGAGCCTAGACCCTGCTCCGCACCATGCGCCTGCGCTGCCCTTAAGGCTCTAAAGAGGCCCCAACCCACCCCTTTGCCCTTTTGGGTCCCCAGGGCTAGTGATAAGCTTGTGTCAGCCACCCTGGGTGTCTGAGGCGGGAACCCTCATCTTCTTTGAGGTTCACAAGCTTTCTTCCCTTCCCATGCTGTCACTGTCTTTGGCTTTACACCGGAGTTCTGCGGAGATGTCGCTGCTGGGACACTCCAACAGGCCACGGGGGGGGGGGGGTGGGGGGGGGGGGGGGGGGGGGGGGGGGGGGCGGGGGAGAAAACTGTGAACTGAGGCTGGGGGAGGGGCAAACCCACAGCTAGGAAAAGGACAGCAATTTGCAAATGAAACAAAAACCATACACAGCCTACACAGAAGTTGAAAGGAAATCTTTAGAAAGGGAGATGTTGCAAGATTGGGTGTCAATAAATTTGCTGGTTAAAAAGTTCCCCGCCCCTAGAAAACAAATGATACAATGTCCAAAATTTAGGACCCAAATCTCTTCGTTTGTAAGCAAAAAAAAAAAAAAAAAAAAAGAGCAGCTCAAGATGGGGAAACAACTTGCTTCATTCTTGCCTCATAGTTTACAGTTGTCAATAATTCAGACAATGTCTCAACCAAAATGAAAACCACAGCTCCCTTGGGATGCTCTCAGATGTGCTGGGGTCCTTTGTTTACCAAGTGCTCAGGAAACGGGCTTGTCTCTTTTCCCCATTTCTCCGCCTCTCTCTGTCTCCAAGCCTCCATGACCCACCTCCAGGGGACCGAGATCAGAATGTCCAGGGCAGCTGCTGATGGGCCTAGACCCATTTTCTGGTGACTCAGTATGAGTGAGTCATTTGGCAGAAAACAAAGGATGCTCGGTATAAACGAGCTTACCGTAGACCAGTGAGCAAAGAGCAGAGAATTGGGATTTGGGTTTGGGTTCATGGAAGCACAAAAGAAACCTAACTTTTCAGGTCTCACATGAAGTGTTCAGACCTTCCAATCAATCAATCAATCAATCAATAAATAAATAAATCCAAGCATGGACCCAGCTCAACATCTTTGGACACAGCTCCTGTTAACGGGCAGGACTATGCCGCAGCCCAGACCCAGCTAGACAAGCTCCAACAGGCTAGTACACTGTGCTCAGAGGCTCTGGTCTCTACAGCTCCCTCCCTTCAGCAGAAAGGAAGACTAGCCAAAGCCCAAGTCACCCTTTCAGGCAAACAGGAAGGTTTAAGGGTTTCAAGGCTTCTTTGTGCATTCGGAAAGCTCACTTGGGAATCTCACCTTTCCTGGCAATGGATGCCCCAGGGCATTGCACCTGCCACCTGCTCCTCCCATTATGCATCAGATTTATCTCTCTAATCTCTCTACCATCTAAGTCAATGGAAACATTCAGAGTAACCGCCAGCTTAACCAGTGGATAAAGGGGGAGATCCAGGGCAGACCCTGCAAAGGTTGACCACAGTGTAGATGGGTCCTAGTACCTTTTCCTCTCCTGGGACAAAGCAAGAGGAATCAGCAGGAAGGCCATACTTAGGACAGAAACTTGCAAACAGCAATCAGTCTGGTCTTAGAAACTGCTTCTTCTCCTGACTTTACCACCATTTAACTGATCTGGGCTTTACCTTCTTCATCTTTAAAACAGACTGTCCTAGATGATTGCTAAGGAATGTTCTGTCCCTGATGTTTTAAGGTGCAGGGACAAGGCTGTTGAAACAGGTGCCTAAGGACATATAAGTGGGGCACAGTGAAACCACCAAACTGGACCGCTCCGTGGGTGCAGTTGAAAGAAAGGTGTATTGTAAATGTGAAAGAAAAAAAAAATAACCAGAGGCCTTTGGGAAGTCCAAAGCAGCCATGGCTCCCTCTCAGGGACAGAGGGATACAAGAGGAGAACACTGGCCTTGGGAACACAGAAAAAAACATGGGGAAAGAATGAGGGGGTGAAGCAAGAGCGGGAAAACCCCACCAAGAACAGGTAGCTGCAGGGTGGGAGGAGGGATTGGAACAGCCTGGGAGCTAGCATCGTGGGGGGTGGAGTGAGAAGGACCAGAAGGCTAGTGTGGGGGCTTTGATATTCATAACAGGTAACTAGGGAATAGAGGAGCCTGGAGGTTAGCATGGACTTTGGACTTTGGTATATAACCGCAGCCCGCAGCTTTATACCAAGGGAAATGGCCCTTTCTGGCAGGTAGGTTTCTGAAGAACGCCACCAGCAATCCTTCTAGTCACTGCCTTTTGGGGCTTGGTGTCTCTTCCCTGCAATATAAAAACACAGACAAGAGTCCTGATCATCTCAGATGACCTAGAAGAGCTTCTCTCGGGAGCCAGGAGCAGAAATAAGATGGCCTCACAGATCTGGTCCAGCCTTGGGAGTCTCTTTGTTGATCAAGACTGAAAACATCTCAGGCCAAACTCGAGGGATCTGTGGGCTAGGGCTGCAGAGGTAGGTGTGGGGGTTCACTATGGGCTATCAGGGAAGTCGACAGGAATCTAGTGTCTGCCTCCCCATCCTACATGGCGTCAAAGCGCTCGTGCCTTGGTTTGCAGTAACAACTAGGACTCTCCTGGGACAAAGCAAGAGGAATCAGCAAGGAGGCCATACTTAGGACAGAAACTTGCAAACAGCAAGTTTCCTTCATTCAGCAGCTTAACCCCATGATGTTTCCTTCTTGTTCACTTAACAGCCTTCCACTCCGATGTGAGGTCTGTGAGGTGGCTCCTTCTCAGACTCTTTTAGGGGTGTGCAATCTGCTGGCTCTGCCATTCTGTAACACACGGCTTCCAGCTTTGCTTTGGGAGTCAGCCTTGCAATCAGCCAGAGGTGAAAAGAAACATTGAGGTAAGCAGGAGAAACTCGGATGAGCCAGACCTGGGAGGGGCAGGCCTCACTTCCTCTTCCCGCGGTCCACTAGGGAGAATGCGACAATAGGCTTCACCCAACTGGGAAGGAAGCTGGGAAACGGGGCCTAGACACAAAGGCAAAGAGGAGGAGGAGGAGAGGTCCGGGTGGACTGCTAACAATGTCTACCACCTGGCGTCAGGGGGCGTGGAAGGGAAAGGGAGCGCTAGAGTTTCCTTCTTTGTATAAAAAGGGTAGTGAATCAGGTGATCTCTCCGGGCCCAGCTACTTAGATGTTCTATAGTTTACATACGATGCCCCAAAGTGAATAAGCAGAACAGGCTTCAGTGCAGCATGCCCTCTGCCCATTGGTCAGCAGAGAGGACCTTGGGTTTCCTCCAAGTTCTGTCCCTAAGCTGTTCCCATTCCTCAGCCAAGTCAAGTGATCGCTCTTGACTTCAGTGTCCCCAATTGTCCATTGAGAAGAAAATCCATTACCTTCCGATGCCTCCCCAGGGTTGGTCTGAGGATATGATGAGGTCACCAAGAGCTCTTCTGAGCACCAGCGTGCTCTCGACACAGTGCTGTTACCAGCAGGGCCTCTCAAGAGTGCCCACTCTGCTCCTGAGCATGTGTGGCAGCACAGGACAGCATTGCCGTGGCTGGGATCCAGTGGCGACTGCATGGCAGACCATTCCCGGGATGCCCAAGATTCTGGTGACTGGGGGGGTTCCAGAGGTTGGCAACTTAGTCAACAGACACTTGAATTGAGCTTAGCCTGGGGTCAGAGGGCTGGCTTTAGGCATCATTGTGGAAGGCTGGCCAGTTTCTCGTGCTAAGCCATCCTGGGTCTTGTTTATTCATCTTCTCATCTGCTTGTCTCTCCTCCCACTCGATTTATGAGCTGCTTTCTTGGAACTCTTCACTTTACTCATCCTTTACCAATAGAACCCGACACAATGCCTCCTTTTATTTAGTCATTCAATAAATATTCTGGGATTACCCTGTGCCTGGCTCCGTGCTGGGGGTGGGATGAGTCTCTGACCTCAGAGCTTAAAGGTCTGAAGGAGACAGCCATCACAAGAGCCTCCCTGTAAACCTGTGTCTATGGAAGGGGCCTGAAGAAGAGCACTCAGGAGATCATGCCATGCCCCTGTAGAATGAGGTTGAGCCATGATCTGATCACTGTCCAAGTTGTTAGCCAGGTCCATGGGGAACTGGAAGAATATGCACAAGCCTGAATGCAGGAAGACTTGGAATAAGATAAATGTAAAGAGAAAAGAAAACCAGGAGCTGGAGAGATGGCCCAGAGGTTAAGATCACTGGCTGCTCTTCCAGAGGACCTGGGTTCAATCCCCAGCACCCACGTGGAAGCTTGTAGCTGTTTATAACTCCAGTTCCAGAAGATCTGATGTCCTCTTCTGGCTTCACAGGCACTCCATGAATGTGATGCATAGACAGACAAGCAGATGAAATACCCATACATATAAAATAAGACTTTAAATTTAAAAAAAAAAAGTGAGAGAAGAAATCCAGCATGGCTGGAGCCCAGTGAACAAGGAAGAGCAGGAAGTTGACCCAGCCCTAAGACTGGGAGGCTGTTTAGACCAGGGATGCCCAGGAGCAGAGTGAGCACACTTGAGAGGCCCTGCTGGTAACAGCATT